AAACGGGAAAAAATAAGAACCAAGATGCATTATGTAAAGGTACAATTCCCAATGAGAAATGTAATTGTGTTGTATACCTGCAATGTACCAATAAAAGAATTTAATTAAAAAAAAAAACACTAGTTATACAAAGTTTAGCAACCCTAAATTTACCCAGCCTATTACATCCTCCTTTAAGACTTAGGACACCAAGAGTAAAGTAATTTTCAGTAGTTGGAAGGACATCCAAGAAACAGCTTTTACGATGTTCAATTTCTGATCCCTTGAAGGAATGCCTCAAAGTCACCAGTCATTGTCCTAAACCTGTAGTCATCTTGAATTTCAGGGAAAGCAGAGCCTTGCAGACCATTCAATATAAGTTCTACTCACCCACCCAAGCAGGAGCAGTCATTTCAAAGAACCAGTCCTGAGGTAATGATCACCCAGGCCACAGCCTGACCAGGATTACCTATGTTGCCAGCTATGCAGCCTTCAACCCTTGCCTTTGTTCTTCTTTTCTATAAAACTCCAAGGTTTCTGACAGCCCCTAAGAGGCAGATCTTGAATCTCTTTATCTCTCCTCCTGGCATGGCCTGTCCTTCACTTCTGCTGTTTTTGATTGGTGTTTTGGGAACTATAGCCCTAGCCTTTTTTGAGACAAAATCTCACTATGTTAAGCAGGCTGGCCTCGAACTTGCAATCATCTGGACTCAGCTTCTCCAGTAGCTAGGATTACAGATACGCACCACCATGGACAGAGAAGTCATTAACTTCTTAATATCCATATTCTTGATAAAGCAATGCAATGTCAGGTACTTTTAGTAGCAATCATTTTCTCTTGTGAATATGTGATGCTCTAAGGTTAAGAATTCAAATCTGAGGCCTCACATGGTGGCACATGTGTGTAATCCCAGCACTCTGAAAGGCTGAGACAGGAGAATTGCAAGTTTGAGCCCAGCTTGAGCAATTTATCAACTTAGCAAGATCCTGTCTCCTTTCTCTTCTTCCTTCCCTTACCCCTCCTCCTCCAAGCTCGAGTTTAGGAAATATAGACAGATTTTTGTGATCTATAAATCTAATAGCTGTATCTAAAAGTTCACCTGTTTTGAAATTTTCTACTATTTATAGACTTATTTCAAGCACAAAATCCCGAGCAATGGGATACCAAGAAATGAAATAACATGCTAGTATTACAGAGAGCTAAGTTAGGTAGAAATAGTGTAGGCAGTCAGATAGGGTTGGGCCCTCAACAGAGTCAGTGCAAAAGTTAAAAACACATTACAACCCTGGCTGGAGATGCATCTGTTGGAGACCAGGCCTCAAAATACAGACAAAATGATCAGACTTTCATACTTTCCCAAAGGACAAGGAAGGTAAGAAGTAACACCTGACCTAATGAAGTCTAGATAGACATCAGTCACCCCAGTGTGTGACCAAGACCTCCGAACCCATCATTTCCTAGAAAAAGTTTTTATTCTTTCCACATATACTTGTTCTTTCATTGGATCACTATTATCTATGCTACTATACGTGTAACCTTATTGGTTGTTCATAGTTTTAACCCACGTTATATCCACGTGGTTTTTGCTCTAGAAAACTTCCCTTGAAAAGTGGGGTCCTAGCTGGGGATTTAGCTCAGTGGTTTCACCCCCTGCTACACAAGTGCAAGGACCTGATTTCGATCCCCAGTACCAAAAAAAAAAAAAAAATAAAAATGTTCTGACAGATTTTTAGCACTAGCCCATTTCACAGTGGAGAGAGAGAGAGAGAGAGAGAGAGAGGGTAGGGAAAGAGGAGAGAGATCGGTGGTCAGAGAACCCCAGTAAAAAAAAAAAAAAAAAAAGAAAAGTGGGGTCTTGGGTACCTATTTGGGACCCCTCCTGCCTCTTAGAAGTTATCCTCTCAATAAATAGTTCCTACTCTTAACTTCCGTTGTTCCTAGAATTCATTCTTCAATTTTAGAGATCATGAATGTGGCATATCAGACACCTAACAGGTTCAGAAGTATAGTATTTCCTTATATCATTTGGAGGTCCTATTTCATCTCCTATATCATCCCTGTATCAGTAGTAACAATTTGGTTCAGTCACTGTTCAGGTCACATATCTATCTTTTTTCAGGAGCACCCAAGATTGGGGAAGGAGGTGCCGGGCTACCTCGAAGAATGGTGAGAGAGCAGAATAAATTTTTTTGTTTTGTTTTTGGTATCAGGGATCGAACTTGGACCTTGCGCTTTGCCTGCGAGGCAGGCGCCGGAACCACTGAGCTAAATCCCTGGACCTTATCTTGGTTCTTTTTCTCTGAATTAATATTAAATATTTCATGGAGTATCTTAGTTATTATAGTAGGTATTGTTCAGGGGGGTCTCAGAGAGTTCAAATCATTGATAGTGACCGACGGGTGGTCTCACTTCTGCAATTATCTTGTTCTATGTTTACGTTTTAGTCTTCTACCTGGTCCACTAGCACCTACGCCACCCCAATTTGTATGCCACCACCAGTGACATGACCGGGACACACAGGAGGCGCTCAGTCCAGCCTTCCTCTGCACTCATCCCGGTCCCCACCAGGCCACACAGCACCTCCGGAGACTGCCTTTGTAGGGCCCACGCGCGAGGGATTCTGGGAAGTGTAGTTCGCACGCACACGGTGCTGGAGCGAGGTTCCACGTGCGCAGGCGCACTTCTGGCTCTGGCCCGTCGCTGCGGCCATTGTGCGCCCCCCATTGCGACGGAGACCGCTTTGGGCATCTGGCCCTTCTGAAGAAAAGAAGCAAAAAGAAAGCCTGCGGAGCGGGAGGGGCCGATCCGAGGCCCTGGGTGTGCTGGAGGTCCCAAATCCGGAGCCCTCTGGAGGCAGTGTTTCCGAGTGCGCGGGTTGGCGCGGCACCTCCCGCGTTTGGGGGCCTCGCCCACCGCCCTGCGGCTGGGACTGGGCGTGGCCACAGGGGACCTGCGGGAGCAGCAGGCAGGGGCGGGGCCCGTGCTCCCAATCCTCTAGCTGCACAGTGACGGAGGGGGGCGGCGGTCGCATCCCAGTGAGCGCTCTCTTCTTTCTCCGCAGTCCCTGTCCCGGAGCCGCCCCACGAGTCAGGAATGGCCCCCAGGCGGCCCACCGCAGCACCTCAGGTGAGACGCGCGTTTGGATCCGGCGGGGGGCCCGGGACCTTTTGGGGACAGTTATTGTTCTTCACCTAGAGATACACAGTCTTGGCTCGATTGCCCCTCGGAGGCTCCTAACCACGTGAAACCCCAGCGTGTCCAGAGCTGGGCAGTGCGAGATTCTCAAGGGAGAGGAGGAGGGAATAGACCGCATCAGGGCAGTGCGATCTTGGGAGAGTAGCTAAGGTTGGATGTGTTGGAAGTGTCATTGCTGAGTCCAGAGTGCGGGACCACTTCTTTGAAATCTTGTCAATGAGGAGTGGAGAGGGTAAGGTGACAGGATAGAAAACTGTAGAGGAGAAAGAGAATATTGGTAAGTCTGGAGGGGAGAGACCCAGCTTCGGGGTCAGGGGCCATGAGAGACCTTAAGATTCAGAAGTTTGGTCAGTATGCCTAGGAAGAGGCTGGTGGTGGGCTTTCACGGGCAAGGATAACAAACCAGGACTGACTTCCCCTGAGGTTTTTATGTTCTTTACTGCTGTTTTGGTTTGTTTGTTTGGTTGGTTTTTTGTTTGTTTGTCTGTACTGGGGATTGAACCCATGGCCTTCACACTGAGCTACATCCCCATCTCTTTATTTTGAGACAGGTTCTCACTAAGTTGCCCAGGTGGGACTTGAACTTGTGATCCTCCTGCCTCAGCCTCCTAGCCCTTTTCTGCTTTAACAAAAATGTACAAGTGCACAACCCCAAAAGTCCAGCCTTCATCTTAATGAAGCTGATTTATGAGCCCGTTTATTTTTGTGGCACAGGGGGCATTTTTATACAGTCATTACAACTCTGAGGTTATCCATTGATTTACATGAAGTATTTCATTGAAAATATAAAATCTAGATGGTATCTGGATCTTTTAATCCATACTGTCTTTAAAGTTAAGAAAAAATTACAGGTGATAGTTGCTAGGTGTATGATACAATCGAGATCAATCCCAATAAAATGCTAGTAGTATTGAAAAGCAGTTAATAAATTAAACTTATATAATGTATAATGTATGTATGTATATATATAAATATTTTTTAAACTACTTGTTTATAGGAGTTAACTACTTGTTTAAGGAATAAAGCAAGTAATGCTAGAGGAAGACAGTTGGTTTGAGGAGAGCCAGAGCAAATTACTGTCATTCTCACCTTTATACACAAAGTATTCCCTCAGAAGGCTGTGAGACTTGGGATGACTTAATACCTCATCTGGGGCAATGGTCGTTTCTGTTGCCTTTTTTAATGGTGAAAGTAGATAATGTGTTTTGAGTATTGACTTTTAGGGACCACATTAAACTTCACTTTTACAGCCATGTTTCCTAAGCACCCTGAGTCAGTTACATTGTTCTGGAATCATCTGATGGTTCTCTTGAGTTACCTAACACAAGCTGCAGGTGTCTGTCAGAGATGGACAGAACAGAATACCTGCCCTACAGTGGGACTTTTTAGATCGAAATTTCCCTTTGTCAGTAGTTCCCCTTCTCTGAGCATTGTCGTCAAGGGAGTGCAAAACTGAGTAATGAATCACGTGACTGTTGCCCTGGCTGACAGTTCAGTAGGGGTAAACAGGCAGAAGTATAGCACTAGGGAGTTACTCTGAGTTCAGAGAGGAGGCAGGAAATTCTCCCTGTGGGAAGAAATCAGTCCTTTGAATAAGTGCAAAGTCTAAGCAATAAAAATGAAGAGGTTAGGAATAGAGCTGACTTTCTGTGTCAGGAGAGACAAGAAGATGTGGGAACAGAATGTATTCAGGAAACCATTGTCCTCTGTGACAGCAGGTGGTGTGGGTTGCTGACAGTGGGTAGAAAAGAGTTTGGATTTCTTTTTGGCCTTGTAACTCATTCATTCATTTGTTTATGAGACAAGTCATTGAGACCTTATTATGTGTCAAGCAATTGTCTAGGCACCTGGGGAACTTTAGTGAACAAAATTTATAAGGCTGCTCTCATGGCGCTTGTATTCTAGAAACAGGAGACGGATGAATTCAATGTGTACAGTTTATATTATCCTAAAAGATGATAGCTTTAAGTGTAAAAAAAGATAAAAGAAATTGAGTGGCTAGGTGGGGAGCTTGTGATAGGGGTGCAGTTTTATTTGTTTGGTTTTTTTTTTTTTTGGTGCCGGGGATCAAACTTGGTCCTTGCGCTTGCGCAGCAAGCAGCGAAACCACTAGGCTAAATCCCCGGCCCTAGCGGTGCAGTTATAAATAGAATGGTCAGGGTACTGAAGCCTTATCCTTACTGAAATGGTGACATCTGAGCAGACTTAACAAGAACTGAAGGAGTCATGGATCCAGATGTCAGGGGAAGAACATGGTGGGAAGAGGGAACAGTCTCAGTATGTCTGGTATATTCAAGGAGCAGCAAAGAGGCAGCTTGAGCTGATAGTTTTGAGCAAGAAACTAGTGTGACTTTTTGTTAGATACAGATTACCATGCATGCTGAATCATATGGGAATGTTTGAAAGTTGGAGCTCCTTTGGAGAGGTGTTTTGATGAGTAGGACCTTCCCCCGAGTGTAGTTGATAAAGAGCTGGCTAAAGTAGAGGAAATGACAGTGATGGAGCATCATTAGGATTGTTAGCAGCTACATTTGTATTGTTGGCAGCTACATCTGTGTAAACACTCTGCATTCTTGTTCACCTTTTTTTTTTTTTCATTACACATGTACTACATTTTTAGTTAGGGAGAAGAATGGTATTTTCCATGAAGACCAGGTCTCATGGTATTTTACCTTGATAGAGAGGAAATGGGGAGGCATCAAAGCCTAGTCTCTGTTGACTTCAGATCCTAAGAGCTCTGTGGTTAGATCATCTCAAAGAACAGACCCAGTAAAACTTGTAAAACTTGGCTCAGGTCACCAACATTCCAATAGACATAATGCTCCTGGGTCACCAGGGTAGCATTAACCAAGCCTCTTGTTGAATCAGTCAGGATGTTAGTGATCAAGGACATCAGAGCACCTTGGTCCAGAGATCCTCTTTCCCAGCCTCCTCCTACACTGACCAGAGCTGGTGTTTAAGCCTCACTCAGAAACATCTTCCTTAGAGTAAGGTCACAGGCCCTTCTCCGTTCCCAGAGAGCCTGTGACAGCACTGTTTTCATATCCTGTGGGGTGGCATGCTTACCTACTTGTACCAGGCTTTGAGCACCTTTAGGACAGGGCTGTCCAACTTCTTTTGCCCTTGCTCCAGAGTAAACGTAAGGTGAGTGTGTATTGTATGAATGGACATTCAGAAGCACTTAACCCCAGCAGCAAATTTATACTTTCTGTTCCTAATATAGTAGAAATTATATCTTCCAGTTTCAATGACCCTAATTTTGTGATAAAATAATTTCATGAAGCAATGTTCCTTGCACTGAATAGTTTTAAAAAGTTTTGTCCTTAATGTTAAGTAAGATTATCCAAACCTGTTTCATTGAGACTGATTTCAAAAGTTAGAATCTTTCCTTGACTGTTGTCTTGTATTGCTTTTATTTTATTAAAATATACCTTACTGTGAGCATATATATAATATATATCTAAAAATGCTTTTCTTTTTCCTTTAAATTAACTTTTGTTTTAGACTTTTTCCCTCACAATCTGGGAAATTGAACCAGGTCTCACATTTGGTAGGCAAGTGCCCTACCACTGAGCTGTATTCTCATCTCTTTTTATTTTTTTTGAAACGTCTAAGTTGCTTAGGCTGGCTTCAAATGTGTTATCCTCCTACCTCAGCCACCCAAATAGCTGAGACTGCGGACATGGACCATGCACCAGTTTATTATAGACTTTTTTTTTAGCTTCAATATCTTTTTTTTTTTTTTTTTTTAATTGTGGTAAAATACACATAACATAAAATTTACAATCTTAACTTTCATGTATGTGTGTATGTGTTTTAACTGGGGATTGAACCTAGGGCCTTAGCACTGGCCCTGGCCTTGGCCTTTTTAAATTTTTTTTTTTTGGTACCGGGGATCGAACTTGGGACCTTGCAATTGTGAAGCAGGTGACAGCACCACTGAGCTAAATCCCTGGACCTGGCCTTTTTAAATTTTGAGACAGGTTTTCTCTCCATTGCCCAGGCTAAGCTCAAGCTTGTGATCCTCCTGCCTCTGCCTCCCAGAGTACTGGGATTACAGGTATATGGCACCATGTCTGGCTCTAACTTATAATTTTTTTAGCCTCAGAACCACTCCTTGTTTCCCTTCAGCAAGAACTACCCAAGGTTCGCTCATCAGATGTTTTTGGATTGCCTACTGTGTGCCAGGCAGTGTTTCTTAACCAGGGTCACACTTCAAAACCAGGAAACTGGTGCTTCCCGTGGGGTGCCAGTAGACTTCAGTGAGGAAATATAAAGAGAGTGCACACAATGACTGAGCTCAGTGCCTGGCCTATGGTGAATGTTCAGTAAATCTTCCTTGTTGAACTTATATCTTGAACCACCTGAGGAATTTTTTTTTTTTTGAGACAGGGTCTCAATATGCAGGCTAGCCTTGAACTCACTATGTAACTGAGGCTGTCCTTGAGCTCTCAGTGATCCTGCTGCCTCAGCCCCCTAAGTGCTGGGATTGCAGGTGTGTACCACCACACCCAGCCCTGAGGAACTTTTAAAACATACTTTGTAGGGCCCTGCACTCTTGGACAATTTTTTTTTTGGTACCTGGGATTGAACTCGGGACCTTGTGCTTGCAAGGCAGGCGCCAGAACCACTGAGCTAAATCCCCGGCCCTATTCTTGGACAATTTTAAAGAGTTGCCCAGATAATCTGGACAATCTCAACGTGTTTGGTGTTGGCCATTCTGAAATGTAAAGGATTTTGAGAATTTCTTGAGCAAAAAAAAAAATGTAAATAGATGGCTGCAGTTTTTTGGTTTTTTTTTTTCTTTTTCTTTTTATGGTGGCTGCAGTTTTTGAGTGGAGATGTGGACCAAATGCTGAAGGGAGGACAAGGAGGATGGAGGATCTAGAAAACCTACAAAGGAAGGAAACCTTGAGCTGTTTCTAGAATGATGACTAGGAATTTTGGCTATAGAAAATACATTACGGGCAGAATAAAATATATGAAAGCAAGGAGACAGAAAAAAAAGAAAAAGAAAATGAAGTTGTCAGGGCCAAGAGTCCATGTGGCAGAAACATGAGGTCCATGACAGGAGGCAAAGTTTGAGAGAATGATTCCAAAACCTGGAGAGGATGGCCTGAGGTAGAGATCTAGAATAAACTAGGACAACACTGTCCAAAAGAAACAGAAGCTACACATGTGTAGTAATTTTAAATTGTCTAGTAGCAACAGTATACAAAATAACAGGTAAAATTAATTTTAGTAGTACATATTATTTAACCCAGCGTATCCAGAATATTATTTCTAGGTATAATCAGCATCTTTTAAGTACTACTACGGTATTTACCTTTTTTTTTTGGTACAAGTCTTTGAAATCTGGTGTGTATTTGATACTTGTCCTGAAAGCATGGTGTAGTCAAGGAATACCAAGATCAGCATGGCTAATTAGTGGCAGGAGAGCTTCAATTTTTTCTTAGTATAGTGGGATGCTGTTAGTTTTAGGTAGTAGGTATCTTGTGATACAACTGTAATGGATGACAGTGAAACAATAAGGTGAAATTATGTATCCACTATGGAAGGATCTTCCAGATACATAGTCAAATGTAAAAAGCAAGTTGTAGAACAATATATGATTGTTTCATAAAACAAGACTGAGTGGTGTGTGTGTGCACGTGTGTGCATGCGTAAAACGTGGATAAGAGACTCTTAAGTGTATAAACCAAAATGTTAAGAGTGATTATTTCTGGGACTGAATTTGTTTTGGAAACAAAGGAGGGCTATCAATTTTCACTCCCTACCATGTCTGGGTTTTGTGACAAAGGAGGTGAATGGGCAATGAGGAATTAGTGATTGTATAAAAAAGCTTGGCTTGGAAGCAGATGGGAAGGTAGGTAAGTGGGGACACAAGTTTGCAAGACAAATTGCCCCTCATAACTTCTCAACAGATACACTAGATCCTTTACAACTTTGTGTGAATGACTAGCATATATAACCCAACATTGCCCCCTCAGGAGAGCAAGCACATGATCACTGCTGATAGATCCCACAGTATGTTCCTAGTATTGCCATGGAAACATTGATGTTGTTGAGCAAGATTGTGATCCTGCAGGAATCAGTGACATTCAAAGATGTGGCTGTGGATTTCACCCGGGAAGAATGGCATCACGTGGACTCTGCCCAGAGAAGCTTGTACAGGGATGTGATGCTGGAGAACTACAGCCACCTGGTTTCTCTTGGTAAGGTCCACTTCTCTTGTTGCGCTCACAGCCTTGGTAACTGTGAGCAGGGTGCCTAGGGGCTAAAGCCTGTTCCTGTCTTTGGGAACTAGCTTTCTGGGGTTTTGTGCCTGCTCTTTAGGTGATAGGTCTTTATTTTGCAGAACCGGACATAGCCACTTTGATTGCATGACTCCTTAAGTTGCACCTTTCTTTTCCTTCAGAGTTCCCGAGGACCAAGACTAGTACTGACTTGTAGGAAGGTTCTTTGTCCACTTGCACCAACAATCTTGTGTATTTACCCACGAGCAGGATATCAAGTTTCCAAACCAGAGGTGATCTTCAAATTGGAGCAAGGAGAAGAGCCATGGATATCAGAGGGAGAAATCCAAAGGCCTTTCTGTTCAGGTAAATGAGTGCGATCTCACCTGTAGGAATCAGTGCGGACAGTGACACAGCTTGAGGGTGGTGCACCTTGAAGCGGCTGGCTGGGGAGCTCCTAAACCTGCCAAGGAAGCTGAACCCATCTTCTGAGTGACAGCTTTCCATTCCTCTGTTCTCCGGGAGAGTGCTCTGTTGTCAGTAGGTCTTAGAGAAAGTTACCCCTTTTTCTTCTCTAAAAGTAGCCTTTGCCCTGGCTCAGAATACCACTTTTGCTTATTTTGCATCCCTTACCTTGCTGGATTATTTTCTTCTCTGGTGTCTCACATTCCTTTCATTATGGAGAGAGGGCTTTTCTTATTCAGACATGAACTCCCATGTCTTCTTGTTTTGCCTTGCTGCTTTCACGGTTGGATGGCCCAGACTTGTAGGAAACAGTCCAGTCTTGATTTCCCTCCCTTTGTAACTTACCTTCAGACTCCTTTTCTTGACCTTAGTCCTGAAACACCTGTCTAGGGAGCAGCACCATCTTCTTGCCATATCATCTTTATGCTGGTTTGATCCATTGCCTCCTGGGAGGTTGAGGGGAGAATGGGATACCCACCATGTCCTTGAACTATCATCATCTCCCAGTCTTTTGCCTTGTGGAGGGCTTTTGGGCCTTAGGTCTGTGGTAGTCAGCTTTTCATCACTATAATGAAATGCTTGAGGCAATCAACTTATTAATAGAAAAGGTGTATTCTGGTTGACAGTTTTAGAGGTTCCAGGCTGTGATTGGTCAGCACTTTTGCTTTGGGCCTAGGGTGTGACAACATAGCAAGACATGATGGTAAAGGAAAACTTCTCACTTCACCAACCAAAAAGCAAGAGGGAAAGAGGCAGAGCCAGGGTCCCACCATCCCCGTTAAAGACACACACCCAGTGACCTAGGCCCTGCCTCATAAAGGTTCCACTACCTCCCAGTAGCACCTCCCTAGGGACCACACTTTTGACACATGGGCCTTTGGAGGGCATTTAACATCCAAGCTATGGTATGGTCTTTTCTTATTTTCCCCCTCTGTGAAGCTGCCCTCAGGAATCTGTCCTTCAACCTCTGCTTCTTTCTGTCTGTGTTACCTCCCTAAAAGGGTGACTGCCTTCTCATAGTTGCAACTCTTTATGCTGTAGACTTAGAAAACTCCCTGACTTAAACCCTGGCCACTTTTTTCTTCTCACAGGACCACCACTTGGAAGTTTCACAGAGCTCATATTAAATATATAAAACCTAAATTTATCCTCTTTCATCCCCAGGCAGCACATCTTGCTACCTTACCTATTACTCATTTCTGCCTTTTGTTATAGAAACCACTGGACTTGTAATCCTGAGGCTAGACACCATAATCAGTTTAGTCTTTTCCTTTCAACCCAGATTATTTTCTTCCTTTGAGAAGTTTCTTAGATTTTCCTGCATTCTAACTTCTGGTGGTAATATTCTAAACCAGGTGCTGAGCTTAGATTACTATAACTCCCAGGTGGATTTACTCATTCTTTGTTTCTTATAATCTATATTGGATAGTTTTTAAATTAGGATTTTATCCAGGTATAATTCACATACCCTAAGAGACAGCCTGCTTCCTCCTCCTCCTTTGACAGAGGGTCTCACTATATATTTCATGCTGGCCTTGAAATCACTGTGTAGCCCAAGCTGGCCTTGAGCTCATAATCCTCCTGCCTCAGCCTTCTAAGCACTGGAATTACAAGTGTGGGCCACCAAGCAAGAGTCACTCTTCTAAGGTGTACTCGTCATTGTTTTTGTGTGTGTATTACAGAGTTGTGCATACATCACTACTGTGTTGTTCCCTATGTCATGCAAAACATTAGAACTTTTTCATCACCCAAGCCAATTAAGAGTCATACCCAATTCCCCATTTCTCCCAGCCCCTGGCAACCATTCATCTGCTTTCTGTCTCTATGGATTTGCCTCTTTGGACATTTTGTATTACTTGAATCATATAACATATGACTGACTTTTTTCTCTTAACGTGATTTCAAGATTGATTCATGTTATAGCATGTATCAGTAATTTATTCCTTTTTACTGCTGAGTAATATTCTATTGTCTGGATATGCCACATTTTGTTTAAATTTATCAGTTGATGGAACATAATTGGATTTTAATATTTTATCTGCATAAATCACCCACTGCTGATAAAACCTTGCTATTACTCCCTGTACCTCATTATAAGAAATAGAAAATCCTTGATTTAAAGGTCTATTAGATCTTTCAGAATTACCTTGTGTTTCCTTAGATTGAACATCTTTTTTTTGTTTTCCTAAAGGTAGCATATAGTTTCCCTCACTACAGTCTTCCTGTCCAAAGCCATCTATTGTTTGAGTTCAAAAATCTATCTAATCCATGAAACCTAATATATATTAATATATTTATTTCTTTCCTGATCAGAAATACCAGTCATATCATCTCTACTATACAAACTCAAATTTAATTATATTTTGATATATTCTGTGTTGCAAAACACAGTCAGAAATTGATTTGATATGGCACCTGGCAGGGGAAGGAATTTTCTCATTCTTTTCACTTGACAAATTTTCACGAATGACCTACTGAGAAAGATTCTTAAAAAATATAGCTATGGGCTGTGGATTTAGCTCAGTGGTTTTGCCACCTGCTGCACAAGCGCAAGGACCAAGTTCGATCCCCGGTACCAAAAAAACAAAAAACAAAAAATATAGCCATGCACAGGGGCACAGGCCTGTGGTCCCAGCTACATGGGTGGCTGAGGCAGGAGGATCACAAATTCATTTCTTTTTTTTTGGTACCAGGGATCAAACTTGGCATCTTTTGCTTGCGAGGCAGGAGGTGGAACCACTGAGCTAAATCCCTGGCCCTGTAGGATCACAAATTCAAAGCCAGCATAGGGGACTTAGACCCTGTCTTAAAATAAAATGGACTGGAGATATAGCTCAGAGGTAGAGAACTTGTCTAGTATATGCAAGGCCCTGAGTTCATTCCCCAGTACCACAAGAAATCAAACCAAACAAACAGAAAAACAAAGCATTCTCTGCCCTATGAGTTTATAATTGATTCTTTTTTCAGAGTAAGGAATTTGGAGGTTTAGGGTCCCTTAATTGTTTTTTTCCCCTTAGAGCATTTTATGAAAAGTTTCAAATACATAGAAAAGTTGGGAAAAAATACAGAGGACACTGTATACATGCCACCAAGATTATAACATTTACTCTTTACAATTTGCTTTATCATATATCTTTTCATCTATCCATCAAACCGTTTTACTTGTTGAAACATCGCCAAGGAAGTTGGAGACAACAGTACATTTCACTTCTACACACATCATTACTGTTCAGTATTTTTGTAGTTGTTTTCTTTAAGAAAATGGTGCATACAATGAAAAATATACACCTCTTATATGTACCACTTAGTTGGTTTTGACAAATGCCTTCTTCTAACCCAAATTTCTATCAATATGCAACATTTCCATTGTTCCAGAAAGCTTCCTGCCTTCAGTTCTAAAGGTTACCATTCTTAGATGCTAGAAATAAATTAATTATCTGGTATTAATATTCTGAGGTTAAAAACAGACTTAGAGATACATTTATTAAGCAGACTGAAATAAATCCTTCTGGTTAAGAGATGTGATTAGTGTACAATCAGAGCTTAGACTAAAACCACAGTTGTAGTTAGTTGTAAATGAAAAGATGCCACCTGAAACACTTTTCTGAATTTGTATAGTCCCTGATCTCCAAGTATAATATTTTCAGTTAGATCATTGGCTATAGATTTTCTCCACACTATTTGAAGACCTGGAAACTAAGAAGTTACTTTATTTATTTATTTTGCTTAAATTCTTTTATTGGTACATTTTAGGTATACAATACATTTACAGTTATCATTGGGAACTTGTACCTTTACGTAATGTATCTTAGTTCTTATTTTTTCCCCATTCCCCTGCCCTCCCTTCAACTACTCCACCCCTCCCTATTTACAAAAACTTTGTTTCCATTTTTTCCTTTTCTCATATTTTTTCCTTTCCCTTCTTTCCTTTCCCCTACTCTTCCCACTTCCCCTTCCCCTTTGCCCCTTTTCTTCCTATTTCACATTACCTATTATACGTTTTAGTCCTTATTTACACTTTCAGTTTCTCACACCAGAGAAACTATTTGGTATTTACACACGTGTGTCCTATTTATTTCACTTAAGAGTATGGCCTCAGTGTGCATCCATTTAGCTATAAATGACTAGTTTCTCATTTTTTATGGCTGAGTAGTACTCCCTTTTATAAAAAAAAACCCACATCTTCTTTACCCAGCCTCAGAAGTTATTTTAAAGATAAGGTGGCATGGTGGCACAAAGCTGTAATACCAGCATTCTGAGAAACTGCTGCAAGAGGATCTCAGTTTGAGCCCAGCTTGAGCAACTCAGTGACTTAATGAGACCCTCTCTCAAAACATAAAAAGAGCAAGGGATGCCGCTCAGTGCAAGGGCCCTAGGTTCATCCCAGAACAATTTTTTTTAAAGGTAGATTTTGTGGGAGATTTTGTAAAATGGACAAGAGGTATGGAAATCAGATAGGATCCTGCAAAATGCCCTGTGATCCTACCTATTCCAGTAGTATCTATGCCTGTACTCTCATGCTCACTTCTACCCTTGTTCCCTAACAAGCCCACCTATGTGGGCTTTCCTAGTTCTCTGGACTTTCAGCATACTCTGGATCTGCAGTCTTCACTATCACCTCTCCATACTAGTCCTTCCTGTATTTTGGTCTTCTCCACAGGTTACAGGACTAATTTCAAAACATAGTCATGTATAATTTATTCTTCTTTCATTTCTTCATTGCTGTTGTAGCAGTTTGTTTCAATAGGAAGGAATAGGGAACTTTTGCGCTTTGCATTTCTTTTCAGACTGGAAGACAAGGCCAGAAGCTAAATCATCAAAGCTGCAACACAGCACATCTGAAGTATCCCCTAGCACAGATGATTTCTCACATGTCACATTAGAAGATGCCTGGGATATTAGTAGCCAGCTAGAGAGGCAGCAAAAAAATTGGAGGAGATATCTGGGGCCAGAAGTATCTACACAGAAGAAAATAACCACCCCAGAGGAAAATTTTGAGCAAAATAAATTTGGTGAAAACTCTAGATTGAACATAGACTTGATTCCACAACTGAACATTCCTTCAAGAATAAGGCCTAGTGAATATGGAACACTTGGAAACAATTTGGGACATAATTCAGACTTACTTAATCAAAATAATATCCTTGCAAAAAAGAAGCCCTATAAATGTAATAAATGTAGAAAAGCCTTTATTCATAGATCATCACTTAATAAACATGAGAAAACTCATAAAGGAGAAGACACATTCCCTAATGGTACAGGTCAGGGAATTTATCCTGGCAAGAAGCACCATGAATGTACTGACTGTGGGAAAACTTTCCTCTGGAAGACACAGCTTACTGAGCATCAGAGGATTCACACTGGAGAAAAACCCTTTGAGTGCAATGTGTGTGGAAAAGCCTTCAGGCATAGCTCATCCCTAGGTCAGCATGAGAATGCTCATACAGGAGAGAAACCCTATCAGTGCAGTCTCTGTGGGAAAGCCTTCCAATGCAGCTCCTCCCTTGTCCAACACCAGAGAATTCACACTGGAGAGAAGCCCTATCGATGTAATCTTTGTGGGAGGTCCTTTAGGCATGGCACATCCCTTACTCAACATGAGGTCACACACAGTGGAGAGAAGCCCTTCCAGTGTAAGGAATGTGGGAAAGCTTTTAGTCGATGTTCTTCTCTTGTCCAACATGAGAGGACTCATACTGGAGAGAAACCTTTTGAATGTAGCATATGTGGAAGGGCTTTTGGTCAGAGCCCATCCCTTTATAAACACATGAGGATTCATAAAAGAGGAAAACCTTACCAAAGCAATAACTACAGCATAGATTTTAAGCACAGCTCTTCTCTTACTCAAGAAGAAAGTGCACTGTCTGAAGTAAAATCCTACCATTGTAATGACTGTGGGGAAGACTTCAGTCACATTACAGACTTTACTAACCATCAGAGGATTCATACTGGAGAGAATCCCTATGATTGTGAGCAGGCCTTTAGTCAACAATCTATTTCTCATCCTGGAGAGAAACCCTATCAATGTAATGTATGTGGAAAGGCTTTCAAAAGGAGTACAAGTTTCATAGAGCATCACAGAATTCATACAGGTGAGAAGCCCTATGAATGTAATGAATGTGGAGAGGCCTTCAGTCGACGCTCATCACTTACTCAACATGAGAGAACCCACACTGGAGAGAAACCCTATGAATGTATTGACTGTGGAAAAGCTTTCAGTCAGAGTTCATCCCTTATTCAGCATGAGAGAACTCACACTGGAGAGAAACCCTATGAATGTAATGAATGTGGGCGTGCATTCCGTAAGAAAACCAATCTGCATGATCATCAAAGAATTCATACTGGAGAAAAACCTTACTCTTGTAAGGATTGTGGGAAGAATTTCAGTCGAAGCTCAGCTCTTACTAAACACCAGAGAATTCATACAAGAAGTAAACTGCAGGAACCCTAAAATTAAAGAATATGTAGAAAATAATGTTCCAGTTCAGTATCAGAGGATTCTTACTGGAGAGAAAGTCTGAGAATGTAATTGTGTGTTTGTATGTTGCGTGTGGAGAAATTGTGCCACTGGACTTTTTTTTTTAATAAGTTAAAAGCCACATTCTTAACCTGATTACAGGCTTTTATAAAAAGTACAGACAACATATGTAGCTATTTGGAAATGATATGCCTATATATTGGACTTTACAAAGCTTCCAAATATAGGTATGCAGGAGATCACCAACTTTTGACAGCTTGATGTGTAACTCTCACTGTTTACAGCCTTTTAAAAAATAAATAAAATTCCTACAATAAAGACCAAAATTCATTTTAAACATTGTTTGACAATTACACTCAACTTCTACATGAATTTCTTCATGGAAACCAATTCCATCTCCAGGAATTCACTATTCAAAGAATTAGATCAACTGATGCAACCACTTTATTATGCAGATGAATAGGACTGAAAGCCAAAGATTTGAAGTGGTTTGCACAGTATGGTGCAGCCTATAATGGCACAGCTGGGTGGAGAAAGGTTTTGTGGATCTTTGGCCTATAGTATTGCTGCCTAAAATGTATTTTGGAATTTAGAGGGTTCTAAGTAAATGTTAAATAAGCCAGATACCCAGACATTTAATAGGCACCCATGGGTTGGACACATTGGAATTCATAAAAGCCTAAGAGGCAGCAAAATATATACAGATTTGTCACAGACTCATTCAAAGATATTTGTTAGAGGCTTATAAGCCAAAATATTAATGGAAACTGTAATAATTGATCTACTGATGACTTTTTCCCTTTCCCAGTTATAATTTTACTTTCTGCAAACATGTCAGTTTTATAGAACTACGAAGTTTTTTTCAAATTGTACTTTTAATGGGACTTCCATGAAAAAATACTGCCCTAACCTTCCTATATCAGATCAATGGGAAAAGAACAGAAAACTAAGCAAATTGTTTCCTAAATTAGTTTTGTTATAGAGAAGTATAAATTCAATTGCCCATTCCAATAAATTCTATCTTTGACTTGGTTTAGAGAAACAGCATGTTTAGGCTTATATTATGTGTGAAGAAAATATGTATCCACTAAAAAACAAAACTTGTCTTACCTCCATGGTTCTTTTCCATCAGTAAAGCATGAACTTAAGTTTCAGTGGCCCACTTTAATCCTTAATGTCCCCTAGTGCTTCCTATGAGCTACCCTAAAGGAATTTCCGGAACTTTTGTTCGTTCAGCAACAGTACAAATTTGGAAACAATGGTGGATATTGATCCCTTGCATGCAAGAGCCACGCCTCCACACACTTAAGTTTTCCCAGCCCTAATGATTCTCAGGAAGGGGAATATGAATAATGTTGATGGTCAGCCTTTCCTACTGGCTTCTTTGCATTCCAGATAGTGGAATCCACTGCCCTTCTCTTATCCTAGATGGCATGAGGTAGCTCTCAAGCATTCATCATTTGGCGGGGGGGGGCATGGATAAATATGCATGGGAGCTGAAATGTGGTATGTATAGCCTAAAAAGTCTTTCACCTGTGAATCAAGATGGATAGCATATTCCAGAGCAGATCTGTCCTTCCAAGATGTTAGCCATTAAAAAGAAAGCCTTGTTTATGATGCTCCATGCTTAGCACACATGTCACAGCCATGTTCTTGTGTTTTGATACATAGTTTGACAACACATGATTCTAGTCAGGTCCTCCCCTACTGAGTGGCTATAGTACCTGTCAGGAACTTGTTGCTGATTGGGGAATCCCTGTAGTGAACTACTTGGAGGGGATGGCATGAATTGAGATCAATTGAGTGCTGACCCATTGTTATTGAAATTTGTAAAAATTTGGTTCCACAAAACCTAAAAGAGACCCCTGGTTGTGTGTGTGTAGCCTGGCCTTGATCCCAACCACCACTCAGAATCTCAGCACACCTTCATTGACAGAGAGGGAGCCATGACGAATGTGTGACTTATTGAGCAGAGGCTTTCCTAGTACCAACAATCATGCACTGTGCACTTCGGAAGACAGCCTTTTAGGGCTACGTGAGATGTATCCTTGTAACATCATTGTATTCTTTCAATAAATGGCCTTCTGAGTTGAATAGGAGTCAGTTTGTCTTTTTCAATTTTCAGAATTTGGCTAAGGTTAAAGGATGGCACATGAAGCAGGTGAGATTTACTGGTAAATTCCTCACAGCCAGGTAAGTTAATAATATCTGCTGTTTCTTTGTTCCTTGGGTGAATGACATTTTTCTGTTTCACTTCTGTCATTTAGGTTTTCTTTACTCTTAGTTGGAGGTGCTATGGTAGCTCTTGTTTTTGGCCAGTGTTTTCTTCTTTCTCTTGTAACAGTCCCTGCTACACTGACCACAGAAACAGAAGTCACAGTGTCCCCAGGGCACCAGCATGTTTCTAGGGGTAGTCATGTGACCTGGTTCAGTCAATCAGTTCTTTGCAAGAATTTTCAAAGTAGAACTATGAGGGGAAATTTGGGGGTTTCTGGGGTGGAGAGGTGGAAGCCTAGAGCTTCCTAGAGCCTGCTTTATTACCAGAGATTGGGGATCTTTTGTAATTGGAGAGAATGGGTATTCTGGTTTCTATTCTCTGAGATTCCTTGGGTCTGCCTTAATTTCTACTGTTCTCTGGGATTCAGTGAGTTCCCCACTATCCATTTTGCTTAAGCTAATTTTTAAATTTCTGTTGCTTGTATTAAATAAACCTTTAAGAGAATGGCCATTTCTCTTTGCTTCTAGTGCTGTCACCACAGCCCAAATCACCATCACCATCTCTGTTCCAGATTTTTGCAACAGCCTCCTAATCAGTCTCTCTCCTTCCATTCTTGCTTCTCTATGTTCTCAGTTTAGCAGCTGGAATAATATCATTAAAATCTAAGATCAGATCACTCATCTGCTTACAACTCTCTAATAGCTCCATTTCCCACAATAAATCTAAAGTAAAAGCCTTACTTGGGATTGGTACTTTCCACTGCCAGGCATTATCTGACTTGCCTCTTGCCTCTCCCATTCATTCATTCATTCATTCATTCATTCATTTATTTATTTATTTGCATAACAGAGGATCAAACTCAGGATCTTTTGCCTGCCAGGCAGGCGCTGGCGCCACTGAGCTAAACCTCTGGCCCTCTCTTTTCTTCTTGATCACTCTGGTCCAGGGCTGCTGGCTCCCTGCAGTAGCTTACATAGGCCCAGCCAGCTTCCACTTCAAAGCCTTCACATTTGCTCTTCCTCTTCCCCTTTTAGATCATTGCTCAAATGTTTTCTCAGAAAAGAACACTTCTTTGATCACTCTACAAAATAGCAGACCCCCTCTGTGGCAGGCCCCAGCTCACCTTCCAGCTTTACTTTTTTCTGCAACACCTGCTGTCACCTGACAAGCTGTGTATTTTACCTGTTTGTTCTATGTTCCTTCCTTAGAATGTAAGCTCTGTAAGACTAGAGGGAGATTTGGGGTGGAGCTACATATTATTGAAGTATAACAATGCAGAAAAGTGCACAAATAGCAAGTAAACAGCTTAATGATTGAGAGCAGGAACTTTTATGTTTCTTATTCAGTGCTGTGTCCTGAATACAAGAAATACTCAAATATTTAATGAATGGTTGAACTGGATTTACACATGTTAACAGGCTGGAATATTGAAAATTGCAGAAGAATACATACAATGCAATATAACTTTTTAAAATGCATATACATGGATTTGGGGATTTTTTGGACTTGTATGAAGAAAAAATAGGAAAGTATTAAAATACTAGCTTCAAGGGAGTAGTTTCCTATGCAGGTAGAGGGCAGGGGAGTGGGTAGGAGTAAAAGAAGGCTTAAACTGTCACATTTTGTTTCTTAAAAAGCAAATATGGCAAATTTGCAAAAAGATGATGCATAAGTATTCACTGGATGTGCTTCTCTGAAATTTTAAACCCTGTCAAGGTTAAAATCTGCCTCCTTGCTCTTAGATGTACCTTCACCTTACAAGGCCACTTGCTTGGTTCCCCTTAGGACATGAGCCCAGATAACTTGTGCATCCAGCATACCTGAAGGAGTTAGGAGAAGTAATAATAGACATCCATGTTCCCAAGAGTGAGAAGTTGATCCAAGCTCAAAGGAAAAAAAAGATATCGGCACTGTCATGCTCAAGCAAAGCATTCCCACTCCCAAGAAGAAGGGAAGGGCAGGGAGCAGAGGGCCTCCTGTAGATAAGGAACATAAGTGACTCTGTGCCAGAGTTGGTGTAAAATACTGCTTTTTTTTTTTTTGGTACTGGGGATTGGACTTGGGTCCTTTCACTTGCGCAGCAGGTGGCAAAACCACTGAGCTAAATCCCCAGCCCAAATCTCTCCTTTAAAAATCAGTGAAAGTGGGTTGGGGATTTAGCTCAGTGGTTCTGCTGCCTGCCTCACAAGCACAAGGACCCAAGTTCAATTCCCGAACTTAAAAAAAAAAAATCAGTGAAAGTCCTGTGATTTTTGAAAAACACTTTTTGACACATTTTAGTAGAAGTGGGAACCAAAATTTGGGCCCGAACTATAAATAATATTTGATTTATGTGAACAGATACTAATTGTAATTGTTTTGATTTACTATATGGACTAAGAAACTAGCAATGAGCTTTTATTCTTGAATTTTAATGTCCAGTTTCCAAAGTTAGAGTTGTCACAGCATTTTGACAGGGACTTTTGTGCTGGCTTGGAGTTGCTGATAAAGCCCCAAAGGAAAAGAAGCTATGATGTTTCCTTGCATTCTAAAGGATACCAGAAAGACCTGGCACTGTTCACAGGGCTCACTAGGAGGTGTGAGATTTGCATAACCACTCCATCCTCAGCCCCTATGAACATGGTACCATGTAACAAGGTTCTGGTCAAGGGAAAAGGTGCCTCATATTCCTGGGGTGAGGCCTCTGCCCCTCCCCATGGGGCTGCAGCACTCAGGTACCAAGAACGACTGGAGATACTGCGGCATCTGAAAGCACCGGGTACTTGGCATCTCCATATCTGACAAAATCACAGGTCCATTTCAGGGCTCCCATCTGGAGTTCTTCAGAAAGCTTTATGTGTGTTCCCTACAGTGTATGTTGGGGTGAAGGGTGACAATGAATTGAACAGAAACAGATGCTTGAAACTGGAGATTTTGAAAGGGTGACTGCTTGTGTAGCCCCTAGTAGCCAAGTGTGAAGCCCTGTAAGGGTCCTCATTTGTGTTGTGTCTGCAAAGAAAAAGGATGCCATAGTCCATTCCCTCCATTCTTTGCTGCCAGAGATTACCAGACAGGATTTTAGTCATTTCTGCGAGGCAAGCAGAGGCACCACTGAGCTAAATCCCCGGCCTAGTCATTTCTGGAATCAGAGTCCATAGAGAGTAATTGATGGGTCCAAACCCAGCCCCTTGAGAATGAAAGGGAGCTAACCAGAGGGAAAGCTCAGACTGTGCTAAAGAACCTGGAAGTGTTTACCCTGTGCCTGGAGCTCACTTGAAGGAGGAAGGAGGACCGGAAGGCAGGAGCAGTAGGGCTGTGTGCCAGTGGCTGCCCTACCAAACTAGAGAATAACTCACCTGGAGAGGAGAGAAGGGTTAGAGGTGAGAACTGCATGGGGCCAAAGGGGAAACTAGGCTGCCCTGCTATGAATCAGTAGGGGGCTAGGGTGGGGAGGAGTGTGGGAGTAGAATTGGGCAGGCCAAGGGCCTCAGGTGGAACAAGACTAACACAACCAGATGGGGCACCAGAGGGTCCTGCCCTGCATGATCACTAACACCACTTCTCCCCTCTGTCTCCTTTCTGGCCCCAACCTACCTGTCATGAGCTTGGTCTGGGGATCTCTGAGGCTGAAATAAGGAACTTAACCCACCCCTTTAAAACAAGTATGTAGGCTTGCTGGCTACTCTTGTCACAAAAAAGAATGTTTACAATGCATTAGTTTAAAAAGGCATAGAAAAGATTTATTAGAGGATGATACAGGGCACACCTAAGAGCGGAGTGTGGGTGTTTAAAAGAAATGAGGCACAAGTTATAAGCCTGGCTAGGTCACATTTAAAGGCTATTTTTGATATGGGTGATGGTTGTGTATTCTCACTGCCTGCCAGATTACAGTGCAAGCCATCTACATGGATTTGAAGTGGAGATAGGAAATAAGACATATGTCTCCAGTGCACCTGCTTTTGCAATTGCAGATAAATTGAGCCATGTGAAATTGGGAAAGCAGAGAAACTCCAGGGTCACCATATCTCCTCTCTGAAAAAGTGTGGCTTTTCCTGAGGAAATCAAAAGTTTCAACTCCCCCAAAACAGGGCCTTAAAGAAATAGACACCCTCTCCTATCTGCTCTCTTTCCCTTTCCTGGGACCATCGGGGTTCTACACAGGCAGACTGGAGGGAGAATAGTGAAGCTTTAAGTGAGGGTTTAAACTTCTGGTAGTGGTAGCCTAAATTAGGACTACATTTCCCACCAAAAATAGGATGAGTAAAATGTTCCTAATTAACCCCCCCCCCCCCCCGCAAAACTAACTAGAGTGAAAAATTAGGGATCAAACTTTGGGAGAAGCAAGAAACAATTCCCAGCTCTGAAAACTGCTTTTGCCCGAAGGTTCGCTGATGAAAATCACCTGTGAAACCTAGCTGTGATGTTAGTGAACTTTGCCCCTGTTTGAACTGGGGCCCCGAATGAAGACAGCATCAGGAATACTTGGATTGGAGAAAAATAAGTCCTGACAAACTGAGGTCCTTGGAAGTATCCAGAACTTCACCCTGGAACTCTTGTTAAATGTTCAACAGAGTAGTGATGTGCTAAGGTGCCTGAAAGAAATAAAATTGAAATGATCCTTTAAAAAAGCTGTTACCAGACCTCAAAGTATACTCCCTTTTAAGAAAAGGTCCAGGGCCGGGGATTTATTTAGCTCAGTGTTTCCACTGCCTGCCTCACAACCACAAGGTCCTGAATTCAATCCCCAGTACCAAAAAAGAAAAAAGAAAAAAAGAAAATGCCCAGCACACTCTCAGAAATAACAAGATAATACAAGGAAGTCACTTGAGAAATAACATGCATTTAAACATGAAAGAAGAATTAATGTAGATGAGAAAAAAACTGTATAGAAACTTGG